AAATTAATTTACGCGTTATTTCCGCATTCGGCTCAGTTTTCTCGCGGAAAATGTACAAGCGTGACGACAAATCGAGAAAAAGATTCAATGCGTAAGTGAACTAGACTAGGACCTTAACAACAGCAAAATAGCTCGATTCAGCTGGTAGTATCGTATGTACTGTAAGACGCGTGTAAGACACGTGAAGTAACAGTGCAATTTCGTCGTATTATTAGCAAGTCGAAACGTTCTTTACCGTTCATGCATATTAATGTTTCTTAACCAAAAAGCGAGAAAAAGACCCGTAAGATCATTATATAACGCAGGAGCATATATTCGCGCTTGTATTTCTTTCGGCTTATTTTCCCAGTGCAAAGTCCGAGATCGGGCATGTTATGCTTTCCTATTTCCTCAGCTGCTACGTGTATTTTGTCAAGATAGCACCGAGAATAACGATTGCATTTTCCTTCCCTCCGCACGCATTCTTACTACCCGTGTGTGAGAGATTAGTGAATAACCACCGCCCGTTACCGATTTATCTTATCAGACCGATCTCTCACCGTGTACTTTCCGTTTTCTTACGCAAGAGGACAATATTTGTTTTATACGTTCGATTCTACCGAAGGAATCGTACGACGATCGTCGTCGTCGTCGTGAATAAGGCAGGCACCGCTTGCACTACCGCGGCACCGCACATCACCGTACCCGGTTGGTCGTTATTATCTACGACTCGTACGACTTAACTCACGAAGAAATTAATGAGAATACATATGTAACCTGCGATCGATGAAGAGGAAACGCTGCTTTATGAATCGCGCAAATCGAAGAATCGTTGCCGCTTCGCTCGCGCGCGCGCGCGCGCTGTCACGTGTGGAGAGCGAGAAAGTCGGATGTCTCGCGAATACATACGAATTTGCTCCAGATTCGCGTAGAGCCGTCGACGACGAGAATAGAGAAACGTGTGCCATCTACAAACCTACGTTTGAAATAATGTCGAGTTGAAATTCGCGTCTCCCTCGCGAAGCGACTCGTCGTTTTACTCGTCGCGGTGTATCCTCCCGAGATGAACTGAGAAACCTCAGGTTTTTGCGATTTTGTTAAGCAACACACACACACATACACACGGCCCGCTAGTTTGTACTTAAAGTTAGTAGATTATATTATTCACAACGAGCTCCGCGTGTCGGCGCGCGTCGACGAACATCATTTCTCGTTTCCCTCTCGATGTCGACGCACGATCCTTCAACAGGTGCACTTCTTTCTCCCCTCGAAACCCCCGTTGTATATTCTTTCGTTTCTTTTTTATTGATATAGAATAATAAACGTATTATTTCGATAAAACTTACAATGTATCCCTCATTTTGTATCTTCATTTCATCGCCCGATCATGGCTCTTCCGAAGTGAAAACTAAACATTTTTTGTCTTCGTAATTCCGCAAATAAATGTGATACCTTAATTTGCAAATATAATATATTGGATAATATAGGATATTAATCAATTCCGAATATTTTCTAAGAATGCTCGCTATTTGTGACGCGAAAGCATTTTTACGAACACCATAAGGATGTGTCATCTAAGCTTGTATCATAAAAATATCGGCAGAGTCGGTTTGAAAATTACTGTCCGCCGTCCAATCTTCGAAGTTGAGCAAGCAAGTCAACCAAGATTTTAGGAGTCGGATGGGTGACCATCCGGGATCTACTCGGAATCGACAGGACACACAGGACACGAACGTATATGAATTACGAGACAAAGCTCAGTTACCGGCAGTCTTCTGAAATCTTTTCTCTGTGCGTATTAAAGGCGCTACAAGTCTTCCTTTATGTTTCAACGTAGCGAAAATGACAATAACTTATCAATAGTTTGTATAACGCCATCTTTGGAAATCCTTCGTTAATTCTACAAACGCGATGATATTTATAGGCTTAACGTAGAATCCAAATTTGACTGGAGTAACGTTTGTAAGACTACCGAACATGAAGAAAACGTCTACGTGAGGTCTGTGGATATCTTCAAGGCTGCGAAGTGCAACCTCCAGCTGGACGAAACTGCAGACTACCATCGCACGGAAGCACCCTGAACTGATCAACAGGCGTGGAGTTACCTTTCATCATGATAACGCCGGACCTCACATTACAATGTCCATCCGTAGAAAAAAAATTATGAAATATGCTGACTTTTTGTCAGAGAAAAGTATATGTCCCCTTAAATTTCCATAAAAGAAACGACTTGTTTTTTTTTTTTTTTGGTTAATGATGTAATATACAAATATATATATCCGTATGGCACAAATGTTCAAAAGACATTCCAAGAACGTACCAGAGACACTTGAATATTCCTGCGACGTTCTTAGGATATCTATTGGACATTTGTGCTATCCGAGTAGATTTTTTAAAAATCAGCTTTATATATTGCGTCGTGATATCTCACTAATTTTTTAAATAAAATATTAAAAAATTAAACGTTTAATTAAACAAACTACTTGTCTTGTTTTCTCTACATGAAAAGATATGTGACAATTGATCCAAAATACGGGGTGAGATGTCACATTTGCGCGATCTTGTTTAGAATTAAATAACGCATAAATATATATAAAGTTGATATTTTTTTATATCTAAAGGATGTAGCTACATTATAAATACACAGTCGATCACAAGACGGTCGCAACAGGTATTTTTTTATATATATGTTTCGGAACACATAAAAAATACGACGAAGCGAACCTATGATTTATGAATGAGCACAGTAAGACGGTTAGCAGCTCTCAAAATTACACATACGCATGTAACTCTGGTATATCTAATTTTGACGGCTGAAATATGAATCGAAATATGAAAATACAACGCGGGACATGTTGATATTACATCTTCGTGTGTAACGTTCACACGTCTATCGCGCATATTCATGGATTATACGTTCACTTTGTCATATTTTTCATATGTACTCTGAATTATGTACGTAGGTAGCTATTTATATTTCTGGCCTTGGTAGCAGTAAGTGTTGCCAGGCGCCATCTGACGTTGTCATTGGAAACTTGACATTGTTGAACATAAGAACATAAGAACACATTGTCATTTGAGCGCGGTTTGTGTTGTTTACAGTGAATTGAAAAATTCATGTCGGGCAAAAAATGGAATTAACTCGTGAACATTTTCGTGCGATTATTTCTCATAACTTTCGACGTGGATTATCAAGACAAGAGTGTATCGATGAACTTAATTCTTTATACAGCGAGAAAGCACCACTCTACAGCACTGTAAAAAACTGGTATAACGAATTCAATCGTGGCCGACGTTCGCTCCAGGACGAGTTCCGTGAAGGTCGTCTAAAATCGGTTGTTGTGCCAGAAAATATCGATGCTGTGCGTGAACTGATAAAGCAAGATCGTCATGTGACATACCGTGAGATTGAGGCATCTTTGGGCATTAGTATGACAAGCATCAATAAGATATTGCATGAACATTTGTCCGTAAAAAAAATTTGTTCGCGTTAGATCCCGCATAATCTGACAAACGTTCAAAAGAAGACTCGTGTTGATTGGTGCAAGAAAATGTTGAAAAAATACGTTCAAGGTACATCAAAGACTGTGTNAAAAACTGGTATAACGAATTCAATCGTGGCCGACGTTCGCTCCAGGACGAGTTCCGTGAAGGTCGTCTAAAATCGGTTGTTGTGCCAGAAAATATCGATGCTGTGCGTGAACTGATAAAGCAAGATCGTCATGTGACATACCGTGAGATTGAGGCATCTTTGGGCATTAGTATGACAAGCATCAATAAGATATTGCATGAACATTTGTCCGTAAAAAAAATTTGTTCGCGTTAGATCCCGCATAATCTGACAAACGTTCAAAAGAAGACTCGTGTTGATTGGTGCAAGAAAATGTTGAAAAAATACGTTCAAGGTACATCAAAGACTGTGTATAACATCTACATAAGTGACGAATCATTGATCTATGCATATGAGCCCGAAACAAAACAGCAATCGACTATATGTGTCTTCCAAGACGAGTCAAATCCAACAAAAGTTGTTCGCGGAAGAAGCACATCGAAGCAAATGGTTACCTGTTTCTTCGGCATTACCGGTCACGTGACGACAGTGGTGTTAGAGCACCGTAGGACGGTCAATTCTGAATGGTACGCGACCATTTGTTTGCCAAAAGTCATCGGAGAAATTCGAGAAAAGCAGAAGAAGAGGCGAATCATTCTTCATCGTGACAATGCGAGCTCTCACACATCGGGTCAAACAAAGGAATTTTTGACCGGCCAAAACATCGAATTGATGGGTCATCCGCCGTACAGTCCTGATTTGGCACCCAATGACTTTTTTTGTTCCCGCACATCAAAAATAAATTACGTGGTCAACGATTTTTGACACCCGAAGAAGCGGTTGATGCATTCAAAACGTATGTTTTGCAGTTACCTCAATCGGAGTGGAAAAAGTGCTTCGAAAATTGGTTCAAACGCATGCAAAAGTGTATCGATCATCATGGAGAATATTTTGTAAAACAATAAAACCAATTTCGATCATAAATATTTGTTTTTTCATTATTAGGCCAGAAATATAAGTAGCAACCCTCGTAAGAAAAAAAAAAACTATTGCAACTATCCTGCGATCGACTTTACACGTATAAGATATTATCTTACTTTTTAATCAATATACAAAAAGTATGTAAAAAACAAGCACGTAAAAAGACAACCAGACTCGGTCTTTCCTCCATGAATATTTCAAAAAGTTCTCAAGAATTCCAATCATGATCCATATAACTTCCTCAATCATTCCTATAGTAATCTTCTATAAATTTCCAAAGAATTACAATTCTCAAAATATTTGTTGTGTTACAAAAAGAAATTTGCTTCTATAACGAAATATATTTTAGCCTTGCTCGATTTTACATCGACTTTACTCTCCTTACCATTCTTTATTAGTCGTACAATCGTGAAACCCCGTGTGAACGTTACACACGAAGATGTAATATCAACATGTCCCGCGTTGTATTTTCATATTACGTTGTCTATTATTATTCTTCTCTCAAGTGACTGAGCATATGGCTGGCTAAGATTCGAATTAAACTTCGAACGCGCCTTTGAACGTTGGATCCCGTTGCTACGGATGCACACATGCCTGTACACACGTAGCACGTAACGAAGTATTCACGTGCGTGTAGTGTGCGCGTGCGTGAGCCTGCGCGCGTGTGTGTGTGTGTGTAGGTGCACTAAGCCACGTTAGGTGCTTTTACGAGACTAAGATATCCGACCCGACCAGTGAGACTTGTGACATCGTGGCGAATGTTCGCCGGAAAGCAGCAGAAGAGAACAACGCGACAAACACGCGTAAATGTGAGCGTGCGATGCGATTAGTCGTCTTGAAAGCCGTCTACCTGCCGTTTACCTGCCATATTGAGGAAAATCCGAAATTTCATTCACATGTCGACACGAGAAGCTGCACGTTTTGCAGGTAAAGGAGATGTTCGCATTCGCGAAGATTTAGTATTCGCTTCGTCGAAAAGTCTCGGCGATGAATGTTTTTTTCTTTTTCCGAAATTTACATATTTACATATTTCCGAGGCGGACGAGAATATCGAGTCGATTTCGTCGTGCAAATACGTTAAGAAAAAATATTTTTCAGTGAGGAAATAAGATTCCTCGGCTTCCTTGTGCGCATCTCTCTCTCTCTCTCTCTCTCTGTCCCTTATAAACTGTTACAAAAGTACCACTATTATTATTATTATCCTAATTACCTCGGTTCTTCTTTACTTTTATTTTACTCCCATTTATTGTTCCTTTCTCTTTTCTTCCACTAAGGAAAAGTAAGAGAAATTTTGCTTTCGTTGAAATATTTATTTTTTCTCCAAACGGCTTGTTAATTCACGTGCTTACTGGAGATACGATTTTTCTTTAATACATTACTCGGAAAACACTTACTAACGATAACATTACAACAATGTTATAATTTCGCACTCGACAATGTAACTATTACATACAACGCATATTACATTATATTATGTTATGTGAAAAATTATAACATTGATGTAATGTCATTGTTAGTTGATGTTTACTCACAATTGTTGGTGATGACTGGACCAGACACGCTTATTTTCAAACAATTAATTGTTAATTATCATTTGCACATCATAGTTGTGTAATCAAGGTAATATTTTACCTCCGAGTTAATAAATATTGCCCTTTACTCTCTCTCTTTCTATTCTATATATTTAAAAACATCGGCGCAATGGCGATAAGGTATATTGTACTTGAAATGAGTGTTATAAGTAACTGAGTGAGATCGCGAAACGTCAATACGGTACAATGGTCATTTGTGCAATCTTCGATCTTCTTGTATAACGTATTACTTCTAAGAGTTACATAAAACTTTTTTTATCGGATTCGATATAATACGTAAGGCTTATGTACGTGGTTACGTACAGATTTACTAATCGCCTTCGAATCGTTGTTCGTCCACGTGCTGTTGACAATTGATAACATTTCCGATGTATCACAAATGTTCAATAGACATCCCAGGAACGTCCCAAGAGTATTCGAATATTTCTGAGACGTTCCTGGAAATTTTCGAACATTTACATTATACGGACCTGAAATTAATAACGAGTGACTAATAACGTCGCGAAAAATATCGTAAAATTTTGTGGACCTTGAGAAGAGTATCACAGTTCAAATTATACGTAACATATATATAGTTAGACTATACGGTGCCGCAGAGTTTTTATTATCTTTTGCGAAGGACCGACTGTACTATTTGGCGGGACGCCAATTTCTTACTAGGAAGAATAGAAATAGTGTACTTTCATAGCTGCTCTCAATCCGAGGTAGTATCGATTCCCGACGCAATCTGGTTTATCATTCGATATAAACTGATAGCGGTCGCAGCCATGCAGCATATTCAAATGTGTCACTTTTTAAATGGACGCGAAGGTAACACGTGTAATCTATGATACATAAACGTGTTAATTAAAAATATTTTATAAATCTACCATAATTTACGATATTTTAACACATAATACATACACATACACTTATATATGTATAAAAATATAATATATGAAATTGTATTCTTCGTGGACATTACATAACGCGAATATTATTAAAATTGGTTTCGAACTGGAAACAAGAAACAGGAAATAAAAAATCAAGGATAACTAAAACGATTATGAAAAGCATGCATTTTTACATCATATCGTGTGATAAATTTAACAAAATACTGACGTTTTGGACATTATACTTTTATCTGTCAGCTAATCCGCTAGTAGCACGTATCGGTTTTATATATTGTATGTTTTATAAACATATATAACGTTTTATTATCTTTTATAAAAGACATATTGAAGATGTTTTTTATGCACGTGATATGATGCAAAAGTGCGACACGATACATCGATCAAAATGACTGGTGGTTCTCGACCCTCGATTTATATCAATACGGCAGATATCGTATTGATATAAGTATATGTCTAATCGGAGAGTAACATATTATATAAATAAATAAATAAATATTAATATATATAAATATATATATATACATAGGAGTTTATTGACTGATACAGGTGAACTCTAACGTGCACCAAAAGGAACGAACAACTGTGCTTGACGACAACTCAACGAGAAACATGAAAATTTTAGGTGTGAGATTTGCACCATTAAATGTGCCTCTCGAGAGGAGGCTGCAGACCTTGACTGCCGCAACATGGTTTATTTGGACCGCATTCGGCAACTTCTTCGCGACCATTATCACGGTCTATATGATTATCTATATGCAAACATACTATCTTATATTATTGTATTCTCTTTGGATGTATTACGACTGGGACACTTGCGATCGTGGTGGCCGAAGGTAACTTTCCACTTTCTACCAGATTTCGAATTTTCTTCGTATTTTTGCCGTGCGAGATAGTCTACAGAAAAAAATGTGGAGATTTAATCTGCATAATTACTCTAATACTCCTTAGCAAATGTTTCTTCGGATCGAGTAATATTTACTTAGGCTTAACTTTAGTACGCTGTCTATCTCCGATTTTAATGAAATTTTACAGATATGTAGTTCTCACTAATATAACCGAAATTTTTAGCGCAGAGCAGGGATCCGGACCGGAACCGAAACCGAAAGCCTACAGAATCGAAACTGTTACATTTTTTTCGGTTTGCGGTTCTTTTCGGTTCTTATTCTATGATTATAAATAATCGTTTTTTTCAATTTATAATAAAATTCTACTTCTCACGAAAAAGCAGAACATTGATTAATTACCGCGACAAATAGAAAATAAAGTTCAAGCATACGATATTGAACAGAAGAGGATTAATAGAAGAAATAATATATTACAATTTTGAGATAAATAGGAAGACAATCATCCTGAATTATACAAATTACTCTAACGGAACATATATATTCTAAGAAAGCTCGGACAATATCGAAATATTCTGAATATTCTCAGAATCTATATAATTGACATGTTCCGTTAGAAAGAGGTTATAAATAACGAGGTTAATATTATATATTCAAAAAAGTTAAAAGCAGAAGATGGAAATAGTGAAGAAATGCCATCAAGGAAGGTTATTTTATATAATATATTATTATACACGTTATATATATATATATATAATTTAAGTTAATAAAAATTTCAGTAAGGTAACAAAGAACTGGAATCGAAAGAACAGTAATTTAAACGGTTTACCGATACTTTCATTATCTAGAAAACCGAAACCGAAATCGGAACCTTTATTAAATATTTTAGTGAACCGGAGCCAGACCGATATTTCCATTCGGTCCCTGGTACAAAGTTGCGGAAATGTCTGGTTTCTGAGAAATTCCAATTTTAATTACTCGGCTTAAGTAATGTTTTAAAAAATTTCAATATGAAAAAATTAATAGAATTCAAAAATATGTTGCCGGAATGTTTTATTTTAGTGATGTATTAAGAAACTATACGTATAATGTTAACAAAATTATGCAATAATATCATGAAAAAAAAGAAGCCAAAAAAGTTCATTTCCTTATATTTTTCAATGATAATCAGTATATAAATAATAACAAAGTTTATCAAAGAATGAAGTTTTAAAGTTTGAAGTTTTAATTCATTCATTCAAAATACCTGTAATAGCTGCAATATTAGAGAATATCCAGTGAAACGATGAACTTTATACAAATACGAAATTACACAGAGAAATAACAGTTTTCTCTTCTATAAAAGAGATGAGATATAGTAAGCGATAAGATAGCGTTGGAATTTAGATCAATTTTATGTCTGTTCTTTTCCAAAAAAAACTTCCTGGACTGATTTCCTAATATTTTTTTCTGTGTGTTCTGAAGTATATAAGAAAAAAATTGTTGCAACCGTCTTATTAACCAATTATACAAAAAGTCATCGCGACAGTCTACCTATTTTTAAATGATAACGATTTTGATCTGCGGCGATAAGAAACTCTTTCGTGAAGGTGAGAGAATCGTTGAAAATTGAAGAATGATTATGCTTTGCTTTTCAGTTACAACTGGATAAAATTTTGCAGAAATAATATATTCTGGCGTTACTTCTGCAACTATTTCCCTATAAAGCTGGTGAAGACCGTTGACTTGGACCCCACGAAATCTTATCTGTTTGTGTGCGTGCCTCACGGAATCCTATCGACAGGAATAGTGGGTGCGTTCGGGTCGGATGCGTTGGGCTGCAGGGAGCTATTTCCTGGACTGGAAATACGTCCGATCATCCTCGACCAGCATTTCAAGATACCTATTTTCAGGGAATACGTGTACTCGTTAGGTAAGAATTATTCATTCAATTATTCAATTATCCAAGCCATTCATTCACGTTCATTTTCTCATTTGATAAACGACTTTTATTTTTTGTCGAGTCTTTTCAACGACACATCCGATTTCTCTCGAGGTAGTATTCATCTACGTATACTATACTCAAGTTGTTGAACTATACATCAACCTTGAAAATAATATATACTATTACATTGTGTATTTGGCTTCAATGGTTGTAACACTTTTCCCAATACATGCGATTTGCAATGTCAACCGGTGTTTACCATTAAAAAGACTTTGGTCAGTAAGTCACAGAAAACACGTTTTTTGCTCCGTAACAATGATAACAGCAACGAAGGTGGATTTTCGCGGTCAGAAATAGACGATGACGCAGAGAAAAATACTATTGAAACAAATAAAATTTCCAATGGCGTGCATATAAATCTTGACTTCAATAGCAATGTCATTGAAATTAATACTTGAGTTATTGAAACGTATAATGTATCAGTTTCGATAATATTACTGTCGAATCAAGATTTATTTCAATTATACGTGCCGGTGGAAATTCTATCTCAGATCAACGGTACTTCTTTTTCCATTCAACAACAGGAAAAATGGAAGATTATCAACTTTTAGGCCCTTTCAATCGTCTAGTGTTTTATTTTCGTTTTTCGTTATTAAATTAACACCCGTTTAACTTTCGGCCTTCCAAAAGTAGACTTTTGGTCTACCTTTCTTCCTTTCTTGAAGGGACGAGATTATTCGATGTGTGTTGAATTTTCAGTCGATGACACAGTCGAGACAGAAGTGATTCGATTGTAACGACAATTCTCACATACAGGTGCCTGCGCTTCTAGTGCGAGAAGTATCAAGTACTTATTATCAACACCGCCATCGAGCTCGTTCACCGGAAGAGCCACGTTACTCATCGTCGGCGGCGCCTCGGAATCTCTGGAGTCGTTACCGGGCACGTATCGTACTATAGTGAAGAAAAGGAAAGGTTTCATCAAATTAGCACTACAAAATGGGTAAAAATGACCGCTTCTATAATACGTATATACAGCGTCTCAAAATTCTTCCATGCGGTGCGTACAGAGAGAGATTCTTCATACTAGAAAAAGTAACTTTTTCCTCAACGAAAATGTCGAGAAAGATCATTATTCACAGTGACTTTTCAACGTAACACATCTTTACAGCTAAGCCTTAAATTAAAATTTTGTTCAAGTAAAGTCTACTTAAAACTGACCGGAGAAGATAATTTTGATATCGATTTGTTCAGCCTAAGCTTAGCTCGCGAAAAATCCAATTTTTTCATTCGCTTGTTTCCCGAGTTATTATTGTTCGAACGTAATTTTGGTATTTTAGTAATTTAGTTTTAGTGGAAAAAGTTACTTCTTTTGATATCAAAAATTTCCTTGTACGCACCACATGCGAGAACTTTGGAACGCCCTGTATAAGATCTGTTTTTTCAGCTTGGAAATTGGATCGCGCTTTCTATTCTTTAGATTGAAAGAAAGTATGTAATATAGCGTTGGAAGGCAAAGAAACAAAGTTGCAACTGAGCACTAGTTTAGTTAAGAGGAGCAAGTTTTATAATGTTCAAAGTCTTCAGAGAGTTCGAGAACTATAGAACAAATTATGCATGTGCGTGCAAAAAAAGAAAAATCTAACTAGACACGAATTTAATATAATCAATTTGTAATTCAGCACAACGTTGGTTCCTGTGTTTTCATTCGGCGAGACGAACCTGTTCACTCAATTGTACAGCTCGGAAGGAACGTTCTTTAGACGTGTCCAGCATTATATTCGCAAAATTATTGGATTAGCACCTGTTGTTTTTTCGGGCAGAGGATTCTTCCAGTATTCGTTCGGACTCATCCCCAAACGGGAGCCTATTACCGTAGTTGGTAAAGTATCAAATTCATCTATTTATATATTTATATATTCGCAATTAACATATATCAGCATATATCAAACGAATTGCGTATATAAGTTTGATTCTTCATTGTTTCTAATTGTTTGAAAATCTATTTCTTCTTTTGTTTCAGTCGGAAGTCCCATGGAGCTACCGAAAATAGCAGAACCTACGGCAGAGCAGATCAACGAACACCATAGTAAATTCGTACAAAACTTGATTGAACTGTTTGAGACGCAGAAGCACAATTATGTAAAAGATCCGGAGAAAGTTGTCCTCGAATTAGACATTTGATCTATTTGATAGAAAAGAAGCGTTCCGTGTGAAGGCTGATCGTGCAAGTTTGTTCTTTTGAAAGACTCAGGCAAGGAAACGTGTTAGTTTGCTCAATGTGATTTCCGGTTTAGTACCACATCCTTCGTGGATTCGCTTCGGATGTTTCGTGAATATTTCAATTTATTTCTCTTCAGGAAGAAAAATACTTGAAACTCACGTTCTTCCACTTCTCCTTGAAAAAGTGAAATATTCGCGAAAACCAAACCGAACATTTTTCCATAAAGACTTCAAATGTGAAATTTGTCAGAAAAACCGCGAGAACTTGTTGAATTTAATTACTATCTTATTATATATTGTTAATATTTTATGGATAAATGATCAGGATTGGGTATGTATTTATGGATAAATAATCAGGATTGGATATGTATTTATGGATAAATGATCAGGATTGGGTTGGTATTTTTTTTAACTAAGTTAAGTTAAAAATTAAATTAATTTTTTGTAAAGTTAAATGTTAAGAATTAATTATACAAAAACATATATATATATATATATAGACACACACACACACACACACACACACACACACACACACACACACACACACACACACACACACACATATATATATATATATATATTAGGGGGACCGGAAAGTAATGTCGCTTTCTTAAATTAAATTCACACGACTACATTTTTAACAAGTTTTTATTTCTAATCAACAATATATTCACCTTCGTTATCAACAACCTTTTGCCATTTAGTATACAAATTTTCAATGCCGGAGCGGTAAAAATCAATCAAATCAAATATCGACATGCGCAGAAACGACATTACTTTCCGGTCCCCCTAATATATGTGTTTTTCATAATTATCTTTTTAATTATAGGTCAAATTTATGTGAAATAAGGGAAATGTATATTTTTTATTTAAAAATATATTTTCTTATATAATAATTTATGTAATAATTACATAATAATAATATATACTGGGTGTCTGGTATGTTTCGTATAACTGCTCGCAGATAAAAAGGTTTAAACTGAAAAGAATAGTTCTCTACCATTTTGTAAACAACCACGCAAAATTTCAAATTATTAATTATTAAAAATAGCCATATATAGAGATTTCCTTAATTAATAACTGAAAAATTTGCGTATTATTTGCAAAACGGTACAGAACTTTTTTATTCAGAGTGGCCTAATCTACAAGTATATGACAGCTGTTATATCTAACGACAGGTTCAAGGTTTGAAATTCAAAGTTCAATATACTGATGTCTGTCGCTAGTTACATGGGAACTTACAACCGCAAGAATTTGTTGGATCCAATTATCATATTATTGTCCAGGTTATTATATAATATAATAACCTATCGTGATATATAATATCACGTGTTGCTTGCTGCATTGTACATGTAGCAGTTCCTTGTCACATTTTTATAATTTCTGTGACATATTTTATAACATGTTTTATACGAAATGACTGTTGCTCATGGCGAAAGTTAAATATTAATATAAATATATTAATAAATAACACATACAATATGCGTTAACAAGAATTATATAATTGTTAGAAGAATTCCATATTTAAAACACGTTGATACATACAAGCTTACACAAGATAATTAGCTGCAAGAGAAACTTACTACAAAAAGTGCTTTTCAGAGTATTATAAAGTGATTTTCAGAGGAACACATAAGTCCAGTGATTATCATATTAATTCAATTACGTAATCTTTGTGTTATTTTTGTGGTTTCCATTATTAAATTAGTTTTAAGCATACTTCACGCAAGCTAACGCATTCGCAAGATATCACGCGAAGGAGAAGAAGAAAATAATGAGAATCGAGAAGAATCCGAGAAACCAAAAAGCCGTTCTCAACATCTGCAATAAAAAGAAGCCTCTTATAATGTCTTTATCACGAAATACATTTTGGTGTTGCTTAACCTTATCGTACCTTGTCCTGCCATTTTTTATTGATCATACAGTCGCGAAAACTCATACGAGTGAATTGCACGGAGATGTAAAGCGGTATCCAGAATTTGGGGACGAGGGTGTACAAAATGTGATCTATGAATTTTCGAAAGCGGAAATTTCTCGTCAACAGTAAGTTTCTCATCTGAAAGAAAGAGAACATGAACATAAATTGGGATTGCGGATCGAGTCCGTACTTGAATTCAAGTGACAACAGCGATGAAAGAATCCTTCTGATACCTCGATATAATTATACATAGCAAGATCGCATATCACATGAGTGTTGTCGCAGCGCAATTCCGAGAATCTCGGCAGAACCTCAGCAAGATCCGAATCGTACTGGTCCATCAGTTCATCGAGTATTAAAATATCTTCGAAACCCTGCGACAAAGCAGAGAACAAACTGCTGTTGCACGAACAAACTCAGCCCGATCATACCTGTCTATTTTATCCCGTGAAAGTATCATTACGCTGCAGAATGATTCGCCTGTCAATCGAGTCGACAACTTACAGTATTCATTCCTTGAGCGTAAAAGGGAACCATCGCGTGGGCGGCGTCGCCAACCAGAAGAGCGGTTTTCCCAACGTGAAAAGGCTCGCACTACAAGAAGCACGAAGAAGGTAATAATCGAAGACGATCGAAGACGACATTTATCCAGTCGTGTAAATCGCACGCTCATGAATTCAAGGTGCGATAAACAAACAACCTGTATCGATATCAGCGGCTTCGGTTCCGAGAGGAAGAAGTCCTCGAGCAGCTTCGGCTCGCCCATCAGTCGCATCAGGTCGGGGAACTGTTCCGCGTAGAAGCTCGACACCGCCTCGGGCGTCTTCAGCTTCTCGAACACGTCGAACGGCGCGAACAGATTGCCGGTGAACGAGCGGTCCTCGTTCGGCAACGCGATCATCATGAACTCACCGCGCGGCCAAATGTGCAGATTCCGGCCGCTCATCCGGAACTTTCGAAGCGAAGATCGGTCCTCGTTAGTTTCCGGATAGTAGACGGATTCGCGTTAACGATCGATCGATCAGTGGTCGCTCACCTCCTTATTCTCTCCGGCTGGCACCGTCAATTCCACGTACTTGTGTTTGATGTACGTCTGGGCGAAATTGAAGTACCGCCTCTTGACCATAATCCTCCGCACCGTCGAGTGCGCCCCGTCGGCACCGATTATCAGGTCGGCCTCCGCGTTTTCTATCTGGCCTGTTTTCGTGCTGGAAACACAAGCAAGAGAGAACCTCCAGGTGAATGTCTTGGCGTCCAGTGACGCTTACGTGATTTTAAAAACGAATAATAACTCGTCGCAATTTACCTGAAAAATTTCATCCTTCCCTCCTCCAGATCGGCGTCCACAAGTTTTTTATTAAAGTTCAATCGCACCACCGGGTACTTTTCCGCGGCTGTATCGTGTATCGAAAGAAAACGGGGCGAATGTGAGCCGAATCGAGCCGTTCTCGTTCATATTAAATTAAACTTCGCGTCGGTTATACGATATCGCGCCCGCGGCTTCCGTTCATTCATTGTGAAAAACGAGGAGCCGCAGGTAAGGCGATATGCGCGCGCGAATTCTTGCGGCTTCGCGACAATGGCATTATCGGATACCGGCCGGGGAATGAAAAGTAAATTCTTGCGTTCGGATTGACGAGTTCGGCTCGAATAATTGTGAATTATGAATTGTAAATTCGCGTACATTTCGAGTAATTATCGAAATCCAAAGTTGAAACTTGATTCGGTTAATCGCCGATATCATAGGATTGCACGTATGGTTTGTGCGCACAATGCTTTGAGATCGATACTTCTTGGCCAAAGCTCATTTTTTTAACTGTCACCTTCAAGTTTTATAATGCCTCATAGTCAAATAATCATAAATTGTTATCACTTATTATTTTTTTATCACTCATCGGTAAGTGTGATGCCAAGAATATCGCTTATTTAAAGGTAATCTTTAGTCACATCTGCATCACGCTGACAAAATTATGCTACATATTTTAATTTAAATAGCGATGTATTGCACAGGGTGTCCGTTAATTCTCGGCTTCATCACTTGTGTGCAGATAGAACGGGTTAAGCTGAATAGAAAAGTCGTCCACTATTTTGCAAACAACCACGTGAAATTTTGAGTTATTAATTATTGAACATGGCCAGTGTACAGAGATTTCCTTAATGAATAATTCGAAAATTCGCGTGTTATTTGCAAAATGGTAAAGAACTTGTTTTGCTTAGAGTAGCTTGTCTTGCGAAGCACAAGACTCAATTCTTCGAGTCACCAATATTGCAACCCGGAATATTTTCGAATATATTAACATGTTATTACGTTAGCTTGATCGAACATATTTTCACACCCTGTACTGTCACTTTGGCTCCCGTCATAATCGGTTGCCACACAAACTCGTTGACAATGACTTTCAATTGTGACAGTTCGTTGCGCTCCCAATATTAGTGCGTTCAAGCCGCATTGTTTCCCATCGTACGTGAGAAGCCAATCGCGCGTTTCACGCGCGTACGAGAGGTAAACTTACCGTCCAGCAGAACCACATTCAATTGTCGCCTATTGACGGAATAAATGAACTGCAAAAGAAGATGTTAGAACGTCGGTACGGCATGCGAAAGCGTAAACGATAGTCAAAGTTGCGTACGCGCGCGCGCAAGACGCGATACAGGTCGATACGGGCTCGGTAGCAAAGGAGAATCGGCGAACCGGAGAGAAGGAAACTTACATTTCCCCTGACACTGTCGTAAAGGAACTCCTTCAAACTGCCGTCCTTATCGTGGACCATTCTGCCGCGCATGGGTATACCGTGGCTCTTCACCAGATCGTCCTCGAGACCAACCGCCCTCAGAGCCTCTCGGCCGCGTAACGACAGCGCCAGATTAATACTCTGACCCTGCATGGCGTCTACTCGTATGTCTGCAAGAAATTTCATGACACAAAGATTGACCAAAAAAAACAAAACTCCGCGAACACAGTTCCAAAAGTGTCCCGAAAGTGAGTCGCAACGCGACGAAAATGACTTTGTGACGTGAACGTTAAGATTCTAACGTAATTCCGAACGATCTTTACCTGACCGGTACTCATAGACAGCTACTCGATGACCTCTCTTGCCGAAGAAACACGCGGCCAATGCACCGACCTGCAAGAAAACCAACAACGTGTCTCGCGTTCTCGCTCACTCTCGCGTGACTGCACCGAAGAATCGAAATAGGAAATTCTCTCGATGTAAATTCCGCGCACCAAACCGCCTCCAACGATGGCCACACGCGGCTTCTCCGTCTCCGCCATGCCTACGTCTTTGCGTATCGAGGACTGTCGACCAACTGTAGCCGCAACCTGTTCGCGCATGGTGTCCATTTACGTGTATATATATATATGTATATATACAGTCCGCGACACTTAATTCAACGCAGTGGTATTTTTCCTATAACGTTGTTTATTGAACTTCGAATTAATGTATCCTATGTTTCTTCTTCCTCTTCCTCCTTACGAGTCTGTTTTTCCTCTTGTGCATACATATGGCTGTGTTGCGTACGCTGATTGTACACAGGCATATGGGATCTGCAGTTTAACGCCAGCTCCGAACGGCATACTTCTTGCGTGAGTTGCTTTGAGCAAATATACTCCAGTGGCTTGCCAGACCGTCCAGAGGAGACACGAGCGTATGGAAATTGTCTGGCTTTACAGGGGATCGAACCCGCGACCTCTAAGCATGGTAGACCGGTATGCTGTTTACAATGCCATGCTCGCGCTCTCCTATGTTTCCTGCAAATAGTAAACGTTATTTAATGAAGATTCAGATATTTGTTTCAACAAATTACATATTTATTGTAAAATATTTCGTTTTTCAAATAATAATATCAACTCTCTCGCGTCACTTGAACAAACGCATCTCGATTTTCCATTGTTTATGACCGCCGCCATATCTGTCAATATCTGTTGTTTAGTAACAACAGATTTTGAACTTCTATACTTCTAGAAGAAAGCGTGTTCTAAAATTATCCATACAAATTATGGGTAGGGTAAACAATTGTGATCTAAAGTAATAGGAAAAGTGAAAATATTAACACGTTCCGTGCCGCGTGGGACGCCCCACGCTGAACTTTCCGTTCAGGCCGTTTCGAATTCTCATTGAAAAACGAAGTATTTTTTATTTATTTATTGTAAAGTCAAGTAAAGGCATCTTAATATCATGTATACCGCGTTTATCGTAGCGCGGGGCGTGCATGCCCCACGCGGCCTGAACGGAGTCTCCAAAAATCGGTCCGGCACGGAACGTGTTAAAAGAAGAAGGCTATTCTAATGAATAGACAGAAACGAGTAAAGCGAATAAATATCTGAATAATCGCCAATTCTCGTCGCAAGAAGAACTTATAATTGCTATTAAAACCTAATGGAATAATCTTGTTTTTTTGTGACTTAATTGTCATGCGTTTAGTCAAGTGACGGGGAAGAATTTGCATTATTTTTCGAAAAATAAAATATTTTTAAAGTAAATATATGATCTGTCTGAACTTTCATGAAATAACATCTACTATCTGTAGAAACATAGGACATATTAGTTTAAAGTTCAATAAACAACGTTACAAGAAAAATACCACTGCTTTTAATCAAATGTCGCGGATTGTTTACAGAGTATATCAAAAGATCAGGTAAATCAACTAGGAGGTGAGAGATGAGCTTGAGTAGAATACATAATATATGTATAAACTTCTATTCGCTATGGTTTGGTAAATATAGCGCTTTATACGGGTGTACAGAAAGTGTCAGAACTTCTTAATATTTCGAAAGATACGCATTTATGAAAAAAATGTTCCGTACGAAAGTTGTGGGGTTTTAAGTGACGCGTTACGTAGTAAAATTAGTATGACTTGGAATAGCGTCCTCCGTGCAGCCATATAGGCGAATGTCTCGATCGATTAGAATATTTTTCTGACGGTGAGATAGATCGGATTCACTCCTCACAATTCCGAATGAGTATATTCATCCGGCGACTCACAGTAAAGTCGCTCGATTTTTTTGTGCAGAATTCAAAGAAATTTAAGAAATTTGAAGAATAAGAATTGCTCACCCCTATGTTAGAAAGTACGTTTTGTAAATTGTATAATTGATGTAATTGTTATTTGTACATTGATTATAATTACATTAATTATAATTACGAATATCATATCGCAAGAACTATAGTTAAAAGAAATATTTTTCTAATAAGTATTATTATAGTGTAAGTGATAATACCCTTACATTCAGATTTCTACTTTTTGAATTAAAACCCCAAAAGAAGATACCCTTTAATCCCACTCGTCATCTATTGAGGGTGTGCAAAAGTTTCAGTCTCTTTTTCAGCGTTCTGGTGTAATTATTTTAAATTCAAATAATATCTCGCCTCCTGTGCACTTGTAAGTACGTTGGTGTCGAACTAACTGAAACGCAGGACCTGTACGGAGAAGGTAGGGAACACTCGCGAGGACCTACAGTGAGCGCAAGGGACGGCCGCGAAAACCTACAGTGAGTAGAGAGACTCCCCTTACAGAAAAGTAAGTCGTTGACTGGTCCGTAAAATAAATGACTGCATCTCAGTGATCTCATTGCGCCTGATGATTTCGAATACTGAAATTACATCAATATCAACAATGTAGAGTGATCAAGAGTGACAATGACGATAGCGCTAATCACTGTCGTCGTCGTCGCCGCCGCCATCGCCGTAGGTCGTCGTGTTCTTCTCTCCCTGCGTGATCCACCACGGTGATCCGAAAAATCAAAAATAGCCGGTGCGCGGCAGTCAGTGCGGCGATGTCGACGGCGAACGACGGTTCGGCGGTGCGGTTCGGCCGATGGTGGTGGTGCTGGCGTAGAAGAAGGTGGAGTACTGCTACCCGCGGCCCTACGATGCCGACGACGACGGAATACCCGAGGATACCGATCGTCCTGCTGACCGTGTTGCTGGCGTTGGTGTCAGCCCCGCTGCTGGGCCAGGCCGACGCCGCCACGAGGACAAAAGTCGAGGAGTCGCCCCGCAAGCAGAAGGAGGCCGAGCCGGTGATCGAGGAAGTCACCGCCAAGCAGCTCGAGCGGCTCCTCAACGAGAAGGACTTTGTCGCTGTGTACTGGTGTAAGTGTGTTGGCACTGACGTAACTGCGAGGTCTCTCACACGATCGCATCGAACAAGGCGCCTAAGTCCGCCCGAGACAATCGACAGGTACGACACGGCGCACGTTCCTCGGTTCGCGAGCTTCCTCTGATGATGATCCCTCCGAAGGAAGACACGTCGTCCACGTCTCGTCGTCAGACGGTCTCGCGGCGGTCACTGCGTGCCCCGGCGATCGCGCATCTGTCCTCGCCTGAGTTGCTCTCCGTTCTTGTCAAAATGTATTGCACTCGACGACGTCGCACGCGGGTCATGTTGACGCGCAGCCTCTCCCGAAATCGCACGAAGACGCCCGCGCGAACCGGGATCGCACGGCGATGCAGCTCGATACAGCTAGCCCGCGTCTATATTCGTATCGACATCGAACTCACGTTTCGATTCGTGCGCTTTGGCATCCCTAAGCGGGGATGTTACGCGCGATTTGTGGTGGCCGTTCTTCCACTTTCTTATTCGAGGGATATATCATGTTTCGTTAACGAGACGAATGAAGCTCTATCCCTCTCTCTCTCTCTCTCTCTCTATATATATATATATATATATATCACGTACATAAAGACAAGCATACATGCATGTTTTAGAACACGCACATCTTTTAGACCACCGTGCGAAAATAACGAGAAAATAACTGCTGCTGTCGAGTCAGACTGAAAATTCCGAGCCAGCCGTTGCTATCATCCCGACTCGTAAGGCGAAGTCGCATGTGACGGCAATAGCGCGACAGTAGCATTATGGTAAATGAAAAGGGATCGGAGCAGACATGCAATAGCGGACGCGCGTAGCCTTGAAGAAAACTTGGAATTGTACGATACTGAGGAACGTCTGTATAGCGGCAGTTTTGGACAAATTTGTTAGATAAATCCGAGCTACACCCCGTACAACCGAGTGTAATCGTCGTCGTTGAAGGCCGACCGCAACGGATCTCCGTCTGATCTTCGAGGAGTCTGAATATTTTACGAGACGATGCGTATATACCACGATCTGTGAAGCAGATCGGTACCGATCGACGAGACGATGCAGGGCTTGCACGCCGCTCGCCCAAAACGACGATTCTTTCCGCTTCGCGCAATAATAAACCGATTTATTATTATTATTTCACCACCGGGACCGCAATTGAAATGTTTCCCCGGCACGGTCGTTAGTGGATTACATAACACGAGAGAGTGGGTGTCGATGAAAGCCGTGGTCGATGTTACAGAACGCACAGTTCGTCATTGAAAGCGCTCCGCGGGGGAGGAAAGAGCGCGAAGGGAAGGTGACAAAAATTACCGCGTGACGTTCTCGAGACGTTCTCGCAACGGGGTGAACTCGCTCGCTCGCATGACACGCCGTGCGAAAGATAATTGCTCCCGCGAGGAATATTAACAGGTACTAAACTTCCACCTCTGCCAAGAATGCTGCACGATCTGTCTCAGTAGGGCGGAGACTCGAGAGTTTGCACGATTAAGAGAACCTGATATCGCGCGTGAGCGCTTGCGATTTAATTCAAGTTACAACAAGAGAGCAGTCGCGTCGGTAGAGGACAGAAGGACCGTCGAGATAAATCGAGCGATTTCACCTCGACGATTTACTCGGACCGATGTATTGAATCGCGAATCGCTTGAATATACCGAAGGTCGTGTCTCGCGTGGCAGGGCGCCAGATTACACCTTTGTGTACGCTTTTCGGTGCTTCTGCTCCCCGAGGATAATCGATGTAACAGTATCGTCTCTCCTCACCGGCGCGCGCGCAGACGTCTGCAAACTGCCACTCGGTGAAAAATTCATTCGCAACTGTCCGACGAGATTCTACGAATTTCCACGGATATGCGATACACGTGTCGATGTGTCCTTGAATGAACGGGATCTACGATTGCGCAAATCCCACGGTATATATTGATTAAAGACGCGTGAATCACAGCTATTGTGCGCATCTCGTGCTTCGAGATCGGAGCGGGAGCAGAGAGGTCTGGACATTTCTCCGTTAAGCGGGGTCTGCAATGAGAATTTAACGCGTGAGATTTGAGAAATTGACTTATCATGATTGATGATTTTTCTCCCGACAACTCGACTGTGACTTGGTCAATTTCTTAAGTCTTCAATCGTGCAGACCTCGCTTTAGAGCGCGACCCAGGAAACGCATATAGTTAAATTGACTCATTAGGCTGACGCATTAGGCGGTGCAAAAGTAAACGAACGACGATCACCACGACGTGTCGTCCGACTGAAAACCTTGTCCAACAGAGCGATCACTTTCATCGTTCGCGTTATACAACTCTCTACGTGCAATATATAAATACAGTCGTCGTCACGTATACGTTATGTCATTCCTCGGACGGAAAATTGCGCGATTTTCAGCATTACCCATGAATGTTGAAGATCGCACAAGCAACTCTGATTATAACGCGACGAAGGTCATAACGGCTCCACTTATAACGGTTTTCACCTTATGTATACACGCGTAAAGCTGGATATTATTGGATTAATTTTCCATCGCGATTCAATAAGTCTAGGGAGTGGTATAATATATACGACCGTCGACTGTGCGCGATTTCAGGCGGAGCAATAAGTTGCACGAGATCGACGAGATCTCGCTGAAGGAAAAATCTTACGATTGATCGGTAAATGATAAGTCGAATATCGCTGAAGGGAACAAGGGATGCTACACGTGTAATGTGTAATATTTCCCCAACGACCCGAGAGAGAGAGAGAGAGAGAGAGAGAGATCGGGTTGCCGAACAACCTGTTCGTTCGTGTATATACCGTTCGCACGCGCGAACTCACTCCTCGAGCTCTCTCTCGCATTCTCGTCGCGATTTACTCTTGAATCATCTTTTCGTAACACTGCGTGATATAATCGACCCCCGGATTTTCGGCCGACACATCAAACGCACGTCGTGCCATCGGCGGCGGCGGCGGCTGAGCACGAGTAGAGCCGCCTTTACCGCGTCGATTCAAAGTACATCGTCTCTCGGGGATGCTGACGACGGATTCGGCCCCGACGGACGTGTAACGCGATCGTAAGCTCGGTATAAAGAGCGCGCTAAATTTAAGCTCTTCGAATTGAAATGAATCGCTAACACGCTCGGCGTGGCCGCTCGGAGAGCCACTTGTTGCGCAAAATCGGCCGATCGGCGACCTTCCCGCAGCCCGTCGAAGCTGATAACGTAGGGATGACTCTATTAAAGCAGTCCCATTACTTAGGCAAAGTGACATCTAAAAGGTCGTCCAATCGGCCGCGTTGATATCTCTGCTTCGGAGTAACCGTTGCCGATTGACTATTTTAATAATCAAGAAATACGAAGACGCACGAATATTCGAATATAACGCGCCTCGTCGAGAGTTTCCAATGTCACTGCACTAGGGGAGGAAAGGTAAAAGTAAAAATATATTTATCCGGCGAATATTAATGACATTTGCTTGTATCAGTATACATATTCTTCCGCTGAAAGAAAACATTATTTCTACATAAGAAAACGGCACACTCATTGTCTCGGAACTGCAGTTTTTGTCATGGAAGCGATAGTTCGTTCCATTTAAATTCACTATTTCTTATTCACCGAATGAATACTTCTTACTTATCAGATCACCTTTTTTTCTCAATATGTACTCCCGAGGAATGGTTAACCGCGTTAACGGAGTCCTCCTGTGTCTTGCTTCCGCTTCAAGGAGTCCGAACACGAGAGAGAGAGAGAGAGAGAGAGAGAGATCCGAAATTCGGCCGTTCCGAAGGACAATCGTCGGGGAGACTCGCTCGCCTATTGAACGCGCTGTAGCGAGGCTGGCGCTCCGGTGGACGCCGTTTTTAGCACACGTTCGAGTTATTTTCGCGCTCTAACCACCGAACCCCTCGTCGCGGCTATCGTCCCCGCTGAAAACATAATGCCGTCCCAGCCGCGACCACCCTGAGGACTACCGTAGATCGCGTTCGTCGCTGGTCGTCGCGGACCTGTCGCCGCGACCGTGGACCGCTCGGCCGCGACGATGGTCTCTCCCGAGAGAGACAGACAGATCAATTTATCGATACTTGATTGATACCAACCTCCTAAAAGTGTTTCAGCAAAGAAAACAAGCACTGCGATCACATGCGAAATTCGAGATAAACAACGAACGAGAAGCGGGCGAAAGAAAGAAAAATAAAGAGAGAAAGTGGAGAAATTAGAGAGAGAGAGAGAGAGAGCCGTTCCTTTCCCGCGGGAGATTTCCGCAAACGCGCAGGGCATGCGATACGCTGAACATTCGGAAGATCCGGAAGAGCCGCGCTAGAGGATCTACGGTGAACCCGGACGACGAGCTCGTGTGCCGAACCTATTTCCAGATGCCGCGCGCGTCCTCGCGTTCCGCCCGTACACGCTATCGCCATTAGCCGTGAATGAAACTCGTTTCCCTAGATGCTCCAGCCGCGCGAGAGACGCTTTCTATACCGGACGCTCGGTGGCTTCGTTTCGTTTCACGAAATACGTCGTGCCTCCGCGAGTCAGAAGAATCGATCGCTTCAAGTTCCGAAAAACTTAACGGAAATACGCAGACGAAATCTTCGACGAAATATTCGATGAAATCTTCGTCGAAACCGCGGCGAGGAGTTCTCTCTCTCTCTCTCCCTCTCGCGTGCGCGCGCGCGTAGAAGAGGAGGGAAAGAGAAGGATTATCGAGAGAGATACGATAGAATCGGCAGCCGAAGCGTCGGAGGACGCCCAGACGACGAGCTGTCGCGTCGTACCTATTTCCAGCCGCAGCGTCCTCGCGGCTCGTGCCGCCATATGGTTGGATTCTTTCCTCCTAGGTTACCACTGTGCGTCGATCCGCGATCAACGTCCCCCCGAGGTCTGCCCTGTCACGCGGAGACGCGTCATAGGAACGCGCGAAATGCCCGTGTATATGGGATATGTGAAATTTGTAATCGTGCATGCGATACTAACACCGAAAGGGCTGCCACTCGGCATCCCGAGAGTCTCCTGGGATGATGGCCGAACTTTTAGAAAAAAATC